GGAAGCCATGTGCAAGCAGACAGCAGACTCGTGATCTAATATGTAAGCACACGGATCAGTTGGGACCCACCTACACACAGAACCATGACAAGACTGGACTACAGGACCTGCACTTTGTGCTCTCCCCCGAGGGTCGCTTCCATGAACCCTCCCCCAGTGAGTCCTTCTCTTACATGGTGGCTGATGATTCTTCAAACAAAAACAAAAGATCAGATTCATGAAAAGTAAATTGCTTGTCCTGTCCTCTTAGTCACTTGCAGAGGAAGCTGTTCTGAAAGCTGGGTTCCTACTGCTTTCACACAGACCAGTCCTCAGAAGGACAGTAACTCAGCAGGGAAAGTAGAAAATGTGTTACACAGGTTAGAAAGACCTGCTTGAAGATGGATAGTTTGTTTATTTGCAAGCAAGTGAAACCAGCAGCTAAACAAGCAAAAGAAAAGAACATATGAAGGAGACGCAGACATGCTCCACCACCTTTGCTATGCATCATCCTTACTCACTATAGTATTTATTCACTGCCAATTGGGATCTCTGGGTTTTCAGTACAAGTCTGTATCTAACACTGCACATTCAGACTAACATACTAGTAAACAACTTCAGTTGGCTGGCCTCTGAGTGTTTGGGAAAGGACGAACTTTCCTGACGTTACATTAAAAGTTTTTTCCAATTTAATCACACACAAAGCACAGCAAACAAACTGATGCTTTTCAACAGCACAGTTTAGTGAGCTGGGTGTCACCCTGAAATCTAGGGAAACAGGTACACTATGTCCGTCCTTTCCTTTATTCACCAGAATGCAACCCTGCTAGGGACTGTATCTTTGGCTAATAAAAACATCTATTCCATCCTCATAGCTGCTGTACTGGCTTGTGAATTCCACTCTCTTACAGGCTTATCTGAGGCCCATTAGGTGCGTTTCCAAGTGTGGATGAACACTGCCGTCACCACCTCACCTCCCTACAGCACAACAGCTCTGAGAGCCAACTTGTCAACACCTGTTCAGAAATGGATCTTGGGTTTAAAATCCTGAAATTTGCCTCACGGCTCAGCAGTCCAGTCCCACCCCCAGTCACAAGTACTCAAGTCATGCCCTTGTCTCTGCAAGCCAGCCAAGCCGCGTCTCCAAACAGCTAAGCCTTTTGCATCCACCCAACCAACGTACAGGCTATTGCAGAAATCAGCTGGTTAGCCACCTTTCTCTGGTTCACAGCCACAACCTAGTCATAGACAATTTATTCCTCTTTATTCTCTAATAAAAGTATCTAAATTTACACAGGTCTCCTTTCCTGGAGATTTATGAGAGGCTAAATAACCCCCCCTCCTTAGCAGCCCTGAAGACCTCGAGCTACAGGTTTTCGTATATAAAAATGCTCCATTGACCCCATTAGAAGCTCTTCCCCAACTCCTGTACTGGTCCAAAGGCAGTTCTGAATATGGTTATGTGATTTTTAAACTGTTTCAGCTTTTCTATCTAGTTTCTTCTACAGTGATACTAACATTTTGCTATCTCTGCTGTTAAGCATCTTGTATCTCATCCTAGAATGAAATTTGTTGGTTTTATAGCCTCATGTATTGATGGCTTAATCACCCACAATCAACTAAAACCTCAGGTCTTTCTCCTCCTCTGTCATTTTAACTGCTGAGCTCAGTATTATTAGTCACTAAGTGCACTTTGTACTATTCTCATTTCTATAGCTCCAGTCACTTTCAAGGCAATCCAATTCTTGTGCAACACTTTGATCTTTCTCTGCAACAACAAGGCTAACGTCACATGCTCTGAAAATTTATTCAGCACACCCTTACACGGCATTAGTGTACATAGCATTAATAACCAGACCCAGAACAGGTTCTTAAGGAAGTCCATCAATGACCTCTTTTGTGACAGAGTCCATTCTTTCCTTTAGCCAGGCCTTCATCTGCTCTTTACCAGATCTTGTTCTAATCCTAATTATTTACAAATTAACTAGATTCCAATGAGGGAACTGCCTTACTAAAACCAGAGGTATTACACCTGGAGCAAGTCCTTAGTTGACCCTTTAATTAAAAATAAATACATAAAATTCTCGAGGACAGGTATCCAACCTGCTATGCTCCTCTTTAGTCAAATCACTATGCATTCAATCCCACTTTCCACGTTTTTTTTTTTTTTTTCCTTTCCTTCAAAACATACAAATCTGTGTACTGAGTTTACATTATGGATTTTCAACAAAACCTGACCCTTCCCATTTCCATCTGCAAGAAAAACTGCCATCAGTGCTACCCCAACTTAGCAATATAGCCCAAAATATTTGATTTTAATTACAGTTTCTTTAGAACTCTGGAAGGACTATTGCATAGCCTCTCATTATGAGCTCATGGAGCTTTAAGTTATGCCCTTTTTTTTTTGTCAGCTTGTACTTCCACAGTTTACTCATCTCATTTTCTCTAAGCACATGCTTTTCAAATCCTGTATTTGAGGCACAGCTGCTATTCCAACCTGTTCATTTGATCCCTGTAGTACTTGGTTTCAAATACCTCCATTGTACATAGGAATAAAGACTCAGGGAATTATAACCACCTCAGTTGTTTGCTACTGACCAGAATTTTCTTTGCCAAACTAGAACAGTGGGGGTGTTTTCAGCAGTACAGTGTTTTCTTGATCCCTGCTGTTTGCTAGCTTATCCCCCATATAGTACTCTATCAATTGCCAAATCTTTTATTTAACATTCCTCTTCCTCTGTATTTCTGTCTATGGAAACCACACAGATATTTTTCATCTTTCTCCCTCACTTCTCAAGTTAAAGTCAACAGATATGCCAAGTTCAAACCAAGCCTATTAAGGCAAGAACTACTGAGATAGCATCTACATGTCAGGATTTTTTCCTTTCTCTGAGGATCTTCCAAGCAGATCTGGGGCAGGCATCACAGCTGCAAGCCACTTCTGCTCTGACAGAGCCTCACCCATTCCTGTGTTCTGATGTTAGAGCCTTAATGCAAATTATTCAGCTCAGTGAATATCTACACCTTCACGCAGAGGTTTTTAAGTCACTCTGTCTGTTGTTGGTCTACTGAACGGTGCAGTTGAGAACAGAACGTATCAGCTGTCCTGCTCCAGAAAGAACCCACCAGTCCATGTGAGGTCTGCAATAACCACCAGAAGCATCAGTCACTCCAACCCACCAGCAGGAAACCTGTTGAAGCATTTCTGTCAAAACACCAATAAATCTCCCACCTCTACAGCCATCTTGTTTCATGTTCATATATAAAAACTTTTTTTTTTTTGGAATTGTGCATGACTGCTGCTGGGATAAAAGTTAAGAAGACAGAAGACTGTCCTAGAAATGCGGTGAGCTAAGAAGGTTTCACAGAAATTCTGCAGAAGGACTGACAGTGTTTCCATAACATACCATGAAAGTGTTATTAATTAGTGAGGTGCCAAGAAGAAACATGCCACTTAGCTTGAGGCTACCGCAAGCACCAGAATGATACCTAATGTGGGGTGTGGCTAGCCAGGACAGCCAGACCAAGCTGGACTCTGCAGCACATTCAATCAAAGCACCCACCCTCAGGGAGATTTCATTTCCCTGGGTTCTCATCCAAGTTCATCTCATGAGACATAATCAGTAGCCTAGATCTTATCGCTTCTCTATGCTGAAAATAACTTAGAATAACTCTCTAGAGTTCGAGAAGAGGGGAGCCATTATTCCGGAATAATTATTCTGCTTAGAAAGTACAGCAACTATTCTTGAAGAAAGCCACTTATCCTGGAAGAGAGTGATTATAGCTTATTCCATAATAATATCTTGTAGAACTTCATGTATAAATAAGGCCTTGATGAAAGATTATGTTCAAGAGAACAAGAGGCTGTCTGAAGAGCTCTGGCATTCTGTACTACTGAAATTGGTCCAGTCTGAATTCCAACCACAGATTTCACCAGAAGGCTGTACTGAATTAGTCACTATTACAATTGTATATATTTATTCAGATTTTAAGATAGTGGTTCTACACTGACCTTGTGACTCTCCTCAAGCACCTGATCTCATGCACAACAGATGGAGCCAACATGCATGTAGTAAGATCACCAGCAGTGCTGCAAGTTTCTAGCTGCCAGCTTTTAAGATACAAGGACCTTCAGCATGCGAAGCATAACCCAAAAGAATACCAAGGTATTTTAGTACTAGGAAATAACTGAAGCAGAGAAATTCCTGAAGTGTTCCCGCAGCATAAAAGAAACACTGCTCCGAAAGAAGCACTTGCACAACACAATGGAGAAAAAGGTCTCAACAAAGTATGGTGCAGAGACTCCCCCAGAATGCTGAAAGCAACATGTTTCACTGATCAGATGCTCAGTCATCACCTGTGTCACACCACATCTAAATTAGCTTGTGTTTAATGGCAAGTTTACAAACGGACAGCTACACCTGTCATGGCACCATATAAATGAGAGAGAGCTGAAGTCCACACGTCACACCATTGGGCTTTCAAGTGAGGACCAAAACAATTCACTGGCTTGCTCAGTCATGACAAAAATCTTTGCAGTTCATAGTAACTCATGCTTGAATACTGTAACAAGTATTTGATGAGCCTAAGTCTAGGTCAGCAGTTTTCAAGCTGGTTGGTAGACACCAAGGGTTCCATAGAAGCTGAGGAAAGCAAGAATATCACTACCAGCTCAAATTTGCTGTTCTCACTAGAAACTTTTAGAAGTCCATAAATCTAGAGAGACTGAAAGACACTGCACTAGATGTAATGTGAAACAAAGCATCCAGAAAGCATAGAGTGACATGGGAAATTAAATGAGCTAATGAGATGCACTTCAAACAGCCTCAGAAGTTTATCATCAGCAAAACAAACACTGATTGTTACAGAATCATGTAAACACTGTGGCAGTCGAAAGAGTATTAGGAGTTGTTTTTTGGGCCCCTAAAGCACAATGCCCCAGGTAGTGAAAAGCCATCTTAACCCCACTTAAGAACAGAACAGCCAAAGCAGTTATAACTCCAAGTAAAGCAATCACTTACTCTGGTCGGCAGATCACCAGGTCCCCTTTGTTGGTGCCATATGCCAATCCCAGGCCTGGCTCAGGCAGCCAGCGAGCAGAGTTGATGCTGACATGTCTTCTCTGGTCGGCAGCCATTGGGTACAGAACGTTGAAAACTCTCTGAAACAATAACAGGAGATTACTTGACAGGACAATACAAGGCAGGAGAACCAAGGAGACTCAAACAAGTGTTCAGTCTCCCTGCAGCAGTGCAGCTGGCCAAGGAGACATGTCACTTTACAAGGTGTTGCAAGAAACCACTAATCCAGCAGCGAGAGTAAGCAGCTGCTAGAAACGCACATACACGTGCCCCTAAGTGTTTAACAGACTGACTGGCACACAGCTGTGGAACAGAAGAAATTCTGCCCCCAGGAGAATCTGCTATCACGCAGCAGGCTGCACAGTCCTTCTATTCAAACTAATTAAACAAAGTGATGGGGACAAGTGGTATGGTCATTAGAAGGCGGGACAACTGGGACTCTTCTGGCTTTCATCTCTCATCTTGACTCACTAGGGTGGAACAGGAAACTGGCAAGTACATGAGCTTTCAGCATCAAAAGTTCATTGTTTCTGTTAAGCAAACCAAACTTTATGCAAAAATGATACACACTTCTTTCCTTTTTTAAACATTTAAACAGCCTCCTGAAAATGTTTCAGAGTTTGACCAACCCCCACACTAACAGCGCACAAAGGAAAATCAAAATCCAGAAATTATGAGAATAATGGAAGTACACAACTAACCAGTCCCGCAGTTCAGTTCCCCTTCCAACGCCATCCATTTTACCTGTGGTAAGGTAAGAAGCTGAAGAGCTGCTAAGACTGCAGGTAGTTAGCTGCAAGCCAGCGCTTCCCAAATGCTGCATTAATACAGGTGAATGAAAAGCCTGTGCAGACGAAGGACCAAGAGCAAGCTTGACTTTCTAGTCTGCACTCGGCTTGGTTTCTGAAGCGTATGAGCTCGAAAATAAGAACGATGAAGAGGAACAGATTATACCTACACAGATATTCTCCTTCTACTCCAAGAAGCTAATGTCTTTTGTACAGCACAACACTTTCCTGCACCCTGCCATCCAACAACCAGAGCTGGGTATACTGACATCACTCCATTCAGCCAGAAAATATGACACATGTAGATCATAAAAACAAAGGTATGGGAAGTGGAAAGAAGGGCAATAAATCAGTTTGGCTACCAGGAACAGAATGGGACAATCTGCTTCAGTGGACTGGGCCATCAGAGCACGTTCCATCACAGCTCCAGAAGGGTAGGACTGAAGATTGCATTTACAAGTCCAAATAATGAACAGAATTTCTGCAGAAATTTACCTGGTATTTAAACCTGTAATCACTGCAGGTAACAGAGATTTTTTCAATGGGCTAAGTCACAGGTGAAAGGTATGTTTTCATTAGATTTTCTGGTGGGCAAACATCCACCCATCATAAGACCTTTCTACCAGAGTCCCCAGAAAAGGGGATGGTGCTGGACCAGGAAGCATGAAAGGGAATGAGGACCTTGCTGGAACAACAGGATAAAGGTAGATAGGGATGCAGATCAACCACAACTGCACTGCCGGGGTGGCCTGAGGTAATAGTTAGAATTCATTAGGGTGGGACTTGTCAGTTAGTGCAACAAACTGGAGCTGTTTTTCTCTGTAGTTCTATTGCCCACCCCACATCTTGCATGTTTGACAATTTAACTTGAGAAGTCTGAGGCAGAGACCACTGAACTGCAAGCCCTCCAACAGCTAGTACCCACAACCTTCATCTTGATCATTGTAATGCAAACAAAGCAAGCCAGAGCAAAACAATTTAGCTACATTATTTCCCATCATCAGTAACACAGTTAACCTCTCCTCTGAAGAGGCCACATTAGAGGAGAAAACATAAAGAAGGATTTATCTGTAAAGAAGGATGCTGGTCACTCTTCACCCTGGCTATTGCTCAGCAGTTAGCATATTCAGAGAAGCTTGGTGTTTGGATGGAAGGAACAGGCCGTTAGGGGTTTATCTAGCTCTTACCCATCTCTGTCATGCCCGCCCTGTTCCCTCCCTGCCTTCCTTGCTCTGTATGGGGGGAAGGATAGAAAAAGAAGGGGGGGGGGGGTGGTGAGAAATAAATCAGATGTACAATGGTAACACTTGTTACCATGGAGATTATGGTGCACTCTGAGATGGGGAGACTGGATTTGGAGGAGGAAGGAGGGGAAAAGGGGAGGTTCGCCAGAGCTGGGAACATAAATTCATACAATAAGCATTCTAAATCTCTCAAGAACTGCAAGGGTTTTCCATCATATCCTTCTTTGGCAAGTCAGAAGCAAACAGTTTCTCTTCTCCTGAGAACAGCTTTGCAAGGTATCACAGCTAGAGGAGTTGCCTTCCTGGGCCAGCAGCAAGCTCTCCTCCCCTGACAGGTCAGTCTGCACAGCCGTTGTCCCTCAAGCTCCACAACCCACCACACTAACGAGGTAGACTTGCTAGCTACAGCTCGGCATCCAGGTGCTCTGCAGTAAATAGCACCCCAGGGAAAGCGCTGCCAAGGACATGGGTCTGGTTCTGACAGCCTGCAAAAATGTTGGCTGAGGGCACAATATCCAAGACAAGATGGCTTAAAATTCTGCGTAAGAATAGTTGCTTCATTGCTCCACTCCATTCACTTCTAAACAGCTTGTCATGCCGAAGAGCTCCCCTCCCCTCCTGCTTCCCACTCCCACGCTAATGGGACAACTCCATGCAGTGTTAAGGGTGATGACATCCGTGCGTGTGGTAATTAGTATATAAAAAGAGAAAGCAGCTGTACTGGCATAATCACCACTCGCAGCAGTAACCAGGACCCAGCTAATCAATCTGATGCAGTCATACAGACTGGCTGTTGCAATTGCATCCATTAGCAAGACCCCCTACTCTATCCACAGAGTGGAAAAAAAAATTAAAGTTCCTTCAACATCGGCAGGTCCCTCTCTTCAAAGAAGGTCAGAAGCCTGCCAGGAAGCATTATTTTCCACAGATCACAGCTAATTCCTTTCGGATTTTTTTTTCCTTTTTGTTTTCCATTGCTAAATCTTTTAAAAAGTAACTGAGATATTTCAACCAAAGTAGCCAACCTGAAAACGTACCACAGAGTGACCACACCACTTTGTCAGTGGGATTGTCCATGCTTTGTAGTTCTGAACTTCTAGGAATAATATTAGAGTTATTACAGGAATCCTACACTGACATGATTCTCCAGCTTCTAGGTCAAGAGATTGCTGCCAACCCTTAAACGCTCTTAAAAGTAGCAATACAAATGCATAAAGTTGATAATTCACCAGTTCCCTTTCATCAGGGCTGCTCCACAGACTAGTTGCAGGTCACGTACAACAGTCACATTTACGGCCAAGGGTTCAGGAACCAGGTTAGAACCACTGTTGTAAAAGTCCACTAATCTTTAAGGTGCCCATCACACCCTACCACAGCCTCCAGAGAGTTTATTTTTAATAGGGTGGCACTTTCATTTAGGACAGATATTGTATTGCATTAGACTTTATCAGTCCATAATCACTGCCAGCAGTCACAGCAAGCTTCCAGGCTCTTCACCATAACCAATGTCAAACTTGTTCTTATAGCATCGCTACACTACTAATTCAATAATACATAGCCACACCGTTAGATGCAGCAATACAGCATTTTATAAAGTTGGCAGTTGCATTTGTTTACAGATGCTGTTCTGAAACAGAGTTTTGAACAGTATGTTTCTCTAAAAACACCAAAGTCTGAGGAGTGGGAGCTTCAGACCATCCCTATGGAAGCTCAAGCCCAAACAGGCAATGTAAGTATAGCAAGCTGTTCTCTTATTGGCAACAACATATAAATGTAATTTCAGTAGGCAAGAAAGGTCCTACCCCTTCCCTTTAGAGTCACACGACCCAGCCTGGATTACACAGAACAGTTACTTGACCTGTGCTCATGTTTGTGGAAAACCCTGTCTCTGGTGATCTCCCCACACTTCACAGGGGATTCCAGAAGTCTTCTATCATTTCAGGGATTCCTCGGGAGATCTAGGGAGACTCCAGGGAGATCTCCTTGTCAGGGGATGTCAGCAAGATAAAAACTCTTCCCCTAAAAATACCAAAACTGTCTAGGCAGGTAAGCTTCCACACAAAAGGCAACTCTCATACAAAGGGAAAGGAATACTCGCTAAAGAAACAGCTGGTTGCTTCCATTCTTCATCCCTGTAACCATGAAGCATGGGGAAAGATTTGGTTAAGTAATTTATGTCTGCACTTCACTATTTTCAAAGACTGAATTAGAAGCAACAACTTATCTCTTTTGTGTGCCTTGTGCATCCTCCCCAAACAGGAGTGGGCACATATATCATCTCCTGAACTCCCTAAAGCTCATCTCATCAATTCACAGCCACTTCTTCAACACTGAATTCAGCAGGGGAGATGGCGGCTCAGAGAAAGAAGGGCAGTAAGGCATGAGGGAAAGAAAAACACAGGCCCGCAAAGTGTTCAGCAAACATGCTGCATGTGGAGTGCAAAGGTGTCAAGTCCACTGCTGCTGCTCCCCCTCCACCTTGTCAGTGCTGGCACATCAGTCCTGTAGCACCTGTCACAGCCACTGCTTAGGTATTAAACTAAATATTTACTCATGGCAGAGAGCCAGGAGAGGCTGCATGACAACGAACAGCCTCAAGGAATCTTTCTCGATGATCTCTTCCTCACCATCAAGCTGCTGTACTTAAGTGGGAAGAAGTGGGCCCAGGGCACAGCACATAAGCACAGAGATAGACAGTTAATTTGTACCTGCCCTGGAGGTGTAAGAAAACTTTTTGCTAAAAGCCTCTGCTCTGCAAAGCCCTAGTTATTGACCTAGTGCTTCCCTCTTCCCCTCCCGCTCCATCCCAGCGAAGTTGCTGCTATTTAATAACACTCTTCAAATTCCGCCTTTCCCCTCCATTCCTGGGGTGTGCCAACATTAAAAAGCTGGACAGGGCGATCGCCAGGATCCTGTCAGTCATCAGAGAAGCTGCAGGCTGCCCAGAGCCTGTGCTGCTGCTGCCAGTTGGCAATGGCACGGCACTGCTCACCCGGTCCGAGCAGCACCGTGTCTGGCCAAAGCAGAGGCACCCTGTCATCTGCACAG